GGCCTGATGAGCACCTATTATTATTTTTTTATTATTATTATTAGCAATTAAATTAAGTTTTTATATAACTTCTCTGATTTTTATTTTTTGCTTCACTATTTTAATAGGTTTTGTTCTTATTAAACAGGCCAAAAGGTCGCGGAAGACCACAACGTATATTATTAGGGGTTTGGCCTGATGAGCACATTCGAGGAGTAATCAGGACTGTTGTATTCAGAGATAATACTCATTCTACAGATAGACAATTATTAAATAATGAAAGATTTCAAGGCAACGACAAGATTGCACTGGTTGACGAAGAATCATCAGTTCTACAAGTTAGAGATGAAGCAGATTTGTTATGTTTAAATAATCAAAATTTGTCAAATTCAACAAAAACCGAACTATTTCCCAACGACAACTCATCATATCATAAAGATGTTTCTGAATACAAAGATCAATTGCACAAATATTGTACTTTAAATAAAATAATGTTAACTCCACAAGCGAGTACTTTGGATCCTACGTTATGGGTAAGCTATAGATTTATAGATATACAGATGTAATAGATATAATAATATAATGAATATTTACCGAGAATAATGAAACTTTTAATTGATGTCAAACTTGTTAAATTAAAATAAATACTTAATGCATTGATACATCGATCATTGTTTGATGTAACTAATAATATCCAATGCCATATAATAAAGTCAATATGTTATGTTAATCTAGTAAATCATTTAATGTATGGTGGCACATATGTTAGACGTCTATAACTTTATTTCTAAATAATTTCCACTCGATCAAGTAAAATGTAATTCAAATGTGTATGTGTACATTCATTAAAATGAAGTTATATTTAATTTTTAGGTAACTATAGCGCAACGGCAACGATATATGTCAGAAGCTGAAGTGCATCATTCCAGTCTCTTGGTGAGATCAGGTAAGAGCAGCAAATAAGTTTAAATTAATAGTATATATAAATTTATATATATATATATATATATATATACATTTGAATTTTCCGCGTTATTTGAATTTTTATCAAATTTCATCTCGTTTTGATTTAGTATGTTTCTTCTGAGAGCATCAAAGATTACATTTTTAACTTCCCGTAGGGTAAGTTATAGTAATCGCAAAAAAATCGAAAATGAAAATTTTTCTATATTTTTGCGTTTCAAAGATTTCTCAACATTTTGGCATACCTTAAATTAGAAAAAATTGATGTATATGTGTGTGTATGTGTATGTGCGCGGATACAAATTTGCGTCGACGATTTTGCGAACACGAATCAACGGATTTGAATAATTAACGTGCTGATTAGTTTTTGGCGAAGGCAAGTCTAGCCGTTTCGGAGATACGGAGCAAAGAGTGCAGAAAATAGAAAGCAAAAAGTGCCAAAAATGATATTTTAGTTTTTGAGATAACGTAGTGTCCGGTTTAAAAAATTAAAAAAAACATTTTACTTGTATTGACGAATTGAACAACTGTTTAAATTTTTGTAAAGGCAGGTCCAGCGTCTCCGGAGATCCAATGAAAAAAGTAAAAATGTTCAAAATTTTCAAATTAAATCAAAAAACAAAAAAAAAATAAAATATTAAAATATACCAAATTTTTCAAAAAAGTCAAATTTTTTCAAAACTTTCATAATTAATCAAGAATCTTATTTTTTCAAAGTTTAGAAAAGTATTTTTTCAATAATTTAGTTTTCGGTAAGTTCCAGCAAATTTGCCTTAAGGTACGATGCCATGCACCCACTAGTTATTTTTTGTTTATAACCGTTACGGAACGTGCATATTTATATATTTCTTTTTTTCTATACCATTGTTGAAGGTAAAAAAAAAACTGTTCCCGAGATATAAAGAATGTTAGGCGTTAAAGAAACCAGGCTGCCGAAGTGACTATGGTTACATAAGATGATGATCGCCACTTTTTCCTGGATGAATATTTATTATTGTTAAAAGCATGTGTTTCTCGATAAAGCATATTATGAAAAGACAAAGAAATATTCTTTGAGTTTTTGTTTTGTTTAATTGGTGGAAAATTATCACAAAGTTTATGTTCAGAAGGCAAGATATTCATATTTAACGAAAATTATGTCACAGACAGTCAAGTGAATCTTTTAACTTTACATAGGGTAAATTATTGTAATCGTCCAAAATCTAAATTGAAAATTTTAGCATTTCTTCACGTTTTGAAAGTTTCTGAACACTTTGGAATACCTCGGAAAAAAATGGATGTATGTATGTATGGATACAATTTTTTGTTCACATTTTTTGGCGCACAGATCAACCGATTTGAATGGCTAAAAGGCATTCGATTCCTATTGATAGGGAGATTAGTTTTTGGCAAAGGCAGGTCCAGCCAGTTTTTAAGAGAACTAAGCATCCGATTTGAATGATTCAAAACACTTTCTGCTTGTGTTGACAAAACAAATGCTTTTGGGGGAAAAAATCAAATTTCTTTTTCAAAAAAAAATTTTTGTGTATCGAAAATAATTCAGATTTTAATTTTAATTCTATCTAAAGTTCTAAAGCTCACATATATACTTTAAATAATTAATTTTAACTTTGTAATTCAATTTATATAATTCTTATAAATATTAGACAACGTCCTTCATTTTAAATTCGATTGATTAAATTTTGTTTATTTAGTTTTTTGTAAAAATATATAAGTTACAGTGTTTATAATAATTTATTTGAAAACATTTAATATTCCTCGAATATTGCATTACGGTACGGTAAGTTCCAGCAATTTGCCATAAAGTCACAATGCCATACATCATTGTAGTGTGAATAGTTCTCATAAACAATCGACCTGTTACTGCAATATTCTTCAAATAGTTTTTTATTTATTCGATATCAGTGCGTTAACTGGAGTGCATAGCAGGTTAAAATATTGTTGTAGCCCTTTTAAAATCCTTTATAGCTTGTTAGCCCGGTCAATTTACGTATTCAAGGTTACTATAATTCATAATGGACTGTAACTAGGCAAAATTGTTTAAAACATAATTATAAATAGAATTTTAAAAGTCCTTATCGATCCGATGCGAGCTAAAAAAATTACACAATAAAAAATAACCCTTTTGGGATTTTTTGCTAAATGGTCAGTTTTATCGCAAAATTACGTGAGACAATATTGTATGATATAAAATTATCTACAAAAAATGCATCAATACTTTTTTTGCTCAGAGCCACTGTTTTAAAGATATATCTTTTTGAAGAGTACGTTTAAAAGCCATCTACGAGGTAGTGTGATTAGCTCGTTTTTTTACGTGGTTTTCCTAGTGTGCCTAAGTCACGGATATGTTGTGATTTTGTTTGTTTCGGAACACTTGCAAAATGATATATGTGAATTTGGGTTGGTAAAAATAAAGACAGTAATTATAAAACTAACTTTATTCCTGGGAGTTATTCTCTTGATCTTCTCCTTCTTCTTCTTCTTCTTCAACAATTTTGCCAAGTTACAGCCAATTATGAATTATAATAACCTTCACCCTGATTTTAGGTTTGAATTAACCGGGCTATGTATAGCTGAAGCTTCGTATTCCCATGAACCTATGGGCAATATTGAAAATTAAGATCTTAAAATGTTGAGAAAACATTAAATTAGCAAATCGAATTTGTTCTTAAGGTATGTGCTTGGCTGAATCTCCAACAACAGGTGATGTTTACGTGGCGCCTACGGAGTCACGTGACAGTCCATCACCAGCAGCTTTTGACTTAAGCGGGACATATTCTTTACCAGTTCCTTATAATTATGGAAATAAATTTCCTCCAACAGTCGCTGAATTGGGACCAGGTAGTTCATTTGTACAAAAGGAGAGACATCCAGCAGATTTACCTGAAACTGTTCGATGCCAAACAAATGTATCCTTACCCAACATCGCAGAAACATCAGAAATTAAGGATACTAATTCACTAAAATTATCGCCATAAGTAATAAACAAGCCTGTATAGATGAATAATATAGAAATAAAACTATAAATATACCTATATGTACATACATATTCTAACTTACAATAAAATGTTACTCTGATTACTTTTAGTATAAACAAAAAAATATTTTTTGAGAGTCTTCATTTACCAAAACCGGATCAGTGAATCTACAGTTTGAAACAAAAATTTAGACAAAAATATGAAAAATAAAACCCCAAAAATATAGACCTAATATGTAAATACAATAGATTTTTATATAATAATGTATATAAAAATTATAATATTTTATAAAATATATACATACATGCAATCAGTAAACCATAAATGTTTAGATTACTGAGCACAGGAAAAACCTCTGCGATATTATGTTACGAACCAAAATTATAAGTTCATATAACATATGGCTATTTTAACAATGGCTGGCGTTTTCTCAATATTAAAACTCCGTTTTGGTAAGTTATGTAATATTTACGTAACATAATTTCATAAATGTTGCATTTCAAAATGATTTGCATAAATATCTATAGTTAATACATTTCAAACACAATTAACTTAAAAATAGTTAATCATATTAATTTATTTATGTCATCAAAATTATTTCTATATGAAAATATGGTCAATGTATATTTTTTTCAATTTGTAACTAAATTATTATGAGCAATTACTTTAGCAAGCATATTAATAATCAACGTCTTTATTTGTGTAGAAATAAATATATTTTAGCATTAATAACATAAAGATAGATCTATCAAAATCTATTTGTGATAAGATACAACTTTTTAAAATTATAAAACACTAATTAAATTAGTATGTTCTTGACTGATGAAATGCTTGCAATCCTGCAATAGTAGTTTAAATTGTTTTAATAAGTGATACATAATTTTAGCTAAGTCTGTATTGCAAAATGTTAAAATATATGTTAATGCTATAGTAATATTAAAGTACTTAATAATTTTCATTAATTATATTCTTAATATATGACATTCAAAGCAAAGATATCTTTGCTGAAAAGAAACATATATATTCTTCTTTTGTAAACACAGTATTTATTCAAAAAATAATTATGAACTGCTTCTGATTATGAAGTAACAAATAAGTTTTAATTGTGCAATGCATTTTTATTTATTTTTTGCTTATAATTTATTTATGAAATGTTTATATGTATTATAAGAAATATTACTGGCTATAATGATTTTATATATTTTTTGAATGAAATATAATGTTACAATTCCATATATATGTATATATAGCTATATAAATATAAATATATATATATATATATATATATATATTGCATATATAATTTTTATATTATTTTGTTCAACATTGAGACATATTCTTGAGTGTTCTTCTTTTATTTCGGCGATTGGCTGCAAATTAACACTCAAGAATATATATATATATATATATATATATATATATATATATATATATGGGTGTAAGAAATAAAATACTACGGCTAGTGCTAATATTTGTTGTAAATAATAATTAAGAAAGTAACTACTTTAAAAGGTCTATAATAAACATGCTGCAATAAATACATAAAACTTTATGTAAAAATTGATTTGAAATATTTTCTTAAAATAGCTTTTATAAATTATTATTTAAATGTAGGATAGTTTTAGAAATATAACTGCAAAATTGTAATTTGACCTATCAACTCATTCTTGCCTATGAAATGATGATATCTTTGTGCCTTCCAGGTTACGTCATTGAAAAAAATGTTATGTGTATTATTTTGTATATTATATATATATATATATATATATATATATATAATATTAAATTAACTAAGTTTTATGAACAAATAACATTCTTATGTTTGCACTTTTTATTAATTATTTTAATTTATACAATTGTTTCGAGACTCAGTTTGTCTCATCATCAGTGCAATAAATTTAAATAAAATCACTGAAATATAGAACAGAATATTATCTTTTGTAGTACTCATGCTTAACTGGTGCTCCATGTACCAGGTGATACACTACATGACTTACACCAGTAAGGTATGAGTAGTACATTAGAGAACACACACATGCTGATCTATCTATATTTTAGTGATTTAATTTAAATTTATTACACTGATGATGAGAGAATTGAGTCTCAAAACGTTTGTGTAATTTAAAATAATTATTAAATAGTGAAAAAAAGGATGTTGTTTGTTCATAATTCTCACAATTAGTTAATTTAGTATATATTTATTTAATATATATGTATGTAATCACAGAATAGTTCAGTCAATGAAGAACTTATTTAAAACATTGGAGTTTCACATTATTTTTTCTACACTACACTTATAGTTATAGCAGTGCCATGGATTACTAATCGACCCAGAACTTGTATATATAGAATGTTACGCTGAACTACATTGTACATATAATACACTCAATCAATCAAATTTGATCAAATAATCCCTTACAAGTGACTTATACAGCCGAAATAAAAATGGAAATTATTTGAATGAAACGATTTTTGAAATGTTACTTATTACTACTTGATAATTTTTATAGATAAAAGTATGTCATTTAAGATATAAAAAAGAACGCTGCAAAGGGTTTAAACAAAAAGTACATATTCATTGTATTGAAAAAAATGTGAAAAATCTATTGTAGTTACATATCATTAATATTGTTTTTTATTTCAAAATGTAAGGCATGCGCACATAAAAACATATACATATACCATAATTATTTCAATTCATACAACACAGATTTAAATTTATATAGTTTGTATGTTTATTAATTCATATGTTTTGGCTTAGCCAAATTCAATCGCATATATTAGACAAAAAACTAGCAACAGGAAATTGAGTCAACTTTGTAAAAAAAATAAAGCTACTTATAAGAAATATATATATATATAGCTACTTACATTTAGATAGTTATTATTTTAGCATTGTTTATACAAATTTACTGAAGCTTCTAATTTATAGAATTATATGAAATGAACTAAATTTCAAACTTATTATATATAAATCTATAATCATGAATAAATTTTATAAAACTATATATTTACAATAATATTTTAAAAACCCAGTGTTTAGAGACGAACAAATGAAATTCGGGATGTTTTTTTTTAAATAAAAGTTTCGGGCATATATGATTTTATGGCCTATCATTTCCTAAATAACGAAATTCATGTGTATGTCTGCAAAAACTTATATGTTTTAAAAATTTATTTATTTCTTTACAGTAATTGCTATTGTTTAAATGTTTGAAATAAAGTTTAGAAAAGTCATCTATTATAAAGAATTTTTCTCACTTATTGTTAAACCTTTTTAAATATTATAGTTCTTTATTATTTTCATATTGATTTCAATATATATATATTGAAATGTATAAGATTGGAATTTTAGGTTTTGAAATACAACCATTATAACTTGGAGATAACATGCATCAAAGAAATTAATTGAAATAATATTAGAAAAACGGTAGAAGGTGCAATCTCATGATCACAACCACGTGGTTTAAAAGCAAAGAACACAAGCAAAAAGACTGTGCACGCGGAAGAGGCCGGAAAACTGCACGTTTTATTAAACTGGCAATATAATCATCAAAAATTGATTCAGAAATAACGTCAAGGATGTTAAGACTTTTCCAGTGCCCAATATCGATTCGAATCATAATATCAAAACCTGAAAACGGTATTTTAACAATTTAACAATAATTAATAATTTGCATATGAGTCGACTATAGGTTGTAAAAAAAGAGATAGCAGTTATTATCCAACAGATAACGTTAACAATATTATTACAATAATTTAATTTAAAAATCACCCTACTCACTACATTAATGCACGGGTAAAAAATCTGTGATAGAATAGTTACGAAAGTAACGGTTTTAACGGAGCTATTCAAATTCATTCAATCATTTGTGATTGTAATCCTAGTATTTAAAATAATATGTCAGGAAATAAATATTTCAAACTATATTTTCACCATCGCAATAAATGTCGTAAAAGTGTGCTGAAAAATTAAATAACATTACTTTATACTATGGCCGTTAAAGTAAAGTTGTACTTGATTGCAAATAACGTCACATAAATCTTTTGAATGACAATTTTCGTGAAAGTCAAATATATGTAATTGTTAGTAAAAATTAAGATAATGTATTAACTATTTGTCTATACATATATATCATTTCTTGTTATGCAAAATATGAATAGAATCGACTTAGTCATTGAATATTGAGATTTAGATAGATTCACCATAGATAAATAAACGTGCTGAGTTTTCGACAAGAGTAGGTCCAGATGTTTGGGAAAGCAAACAAACAGTTTTTTAGAGAATAATACGTTCGATTTGAATGCTTCAAAAAACATTTGATTCATATTGATTGAGTGAATTTATCACATTTTTGTGTAGGCAGGTCTAGCGATTTTAGTGCAAAAAGTGCAAAGAATAGGAGTTTTTGACAGAACGGCGCATCCGATTAGAGTGATTCAAAAAGTATACTGTTTGTGTTTATACTTGCATATAAACATAATAAAGTCCGTCGCCCAAAAATAAGCACATATATAAGTTCTATATATATATATATATATATATATATATATATATATATATATATATATATATATATAAGTATATATATATATATATGATAAAATTTATAGTCACAGAAAAAAAGAGAATACAGTATTTATAATAATTATTCTAAAATATCTAAAACAGTTGTTATTACTTATTGATAATTTGTTATTGATTATTGGTTGAATCAACTAACGGTTATATTCAACCGTTTTTTCTTTGTTAATGAATCAATTCAAATAACTAGTTGAAAATCAACTGATTTTGCAATGAGTTGAAAACATGGCGGCCAGGTAGTTATTAAAACATTATAAACTTGCAACAAGCGTCAAGTCGTTTAATTTTAGAAAATCAATTACTTTTATTATAGTTTTTCAATAGTTATTATTTTTATCATAAAATTCTTACAACATTTGTTTTGTAATATTTTTTTTAAACCAAACCTGAAAATAGTTTTTTTTATTTTTCGTAACGTTGTTCTTTTTACATAACCTGTAAATTCGATGTTTTAGTATGTTTATGGCTTTGCTTCAACAAAAATATTTAAGTTATTTAAATTAAACCTTAGTATTGATAATAAATGTGATGACAATTCACATTTAATTCTTTTTATTCATCAAATCGGTTGACAACGTCAACGTGACGTTTTATAAGAACAAACTTCATATTACCAACTTTCAATGAAATAGTTATTTCAACTATCACTTTCTTAACGTTTCCGGCGTTGAGTCTAAAAATAACTATAGTTGAATAATAACTAGTTGACGAAAACCCGTTAACCGTTGACAGCAAAACCGTCAACGACCTATCTGACCACAGCCAAGCAATTTGCCTCTAGTGCATCTATGAGTTAAATCTTCGTGCATCTATGAGATGTTTCGTAACGACAAAACGGTTGATACGTTAACGAAAGGACAACGACCAAAAACGCCGTTCAGTTCAGCTCAGTTATATCGAGTCACACATATCATACTATGGACTTGTTTATCTATGCTATGGACTCTTTGGAATGTCAAAATATTTGGGGGCAACCCCTACAATATTTTAACGAAACAGCACATAATTATTAAAGTGTGCTTATAAATATGATTATATAGTTCGCATTCAAGTGTTTTAGTAGTTATTTATTATTAAATTGTTATTGAGTATGAATGTTTAATAAAATTATTTTAATTTTTATCTAGTATATTTGAATTGGCAAAATTTGTTTAATTTGAAAAATGGAAGCTCTAAATCATCTAATTAAATTAATTGGAAGCGATGATCTAAAAGTTCTTAATTACGATTTACTTGTACCTCAGTCGGATGCATTTCGTGTATTTCAAAAGTTAAATAAAGAGATTGGTAAAATTACAAACACTTTAGAGAGCCTCCTCAGAAAAGACTTCAACAAGAATTGCAGTGAAACAAAGCATTTAATTCCTAAAAATGCAGATCATAAAGAAGTACAAACTGATATGCTTGGATTATTACATCCTAATGGAGAATTTGTGAATATATATCATGGAAAGATTAATAATATAACTGTTGACTGTGATAACCTCGATGAAGCTGTTCATACTTATAATACACAACAAAAAAGGCACATAGATACTAAAGCATTGCCAGAAAGTCCAAAGGAGAATTCTATAGCTGATGAAAGTTATACAGTTAATAAGAATCATAAGAAATTAGTGCCACCTGCATCATTGGGAAATAGAAATACTAATGATAATGAAAAAAACAAGTGTTTTAATTCAATAAGAGAAAATGATAAAATGTATAACATATGTAATACAGACCCAATTAAGACAAAAAGTTACAATACGTGTGCCAAATTTACTATCGACAATAACTCTTTTAGAACCCCAAGGACTTTAAAATGTGGACAAAAGATTATTATATCAAGATCTAAACTAACACCTCTTCCAAAAGTAACCGTTAATAATGATCCAAGCTTGTTTCTGAAACAATTTAAAAATGATTTACCAATAGATGATAATGTTAGTGTGACTAGTTCAAGTCTTGATGTCAATGAGCTTGATGAGTTTTTAATTAACGATAATGGTACTTTTGAGAAGTATATGGAGATATCTGAGAAGGCAGAAGTAACCAAAAATGATAAAAATAGATCGCTAGTGGCAGAGAACTTTTTTAAATGCTGGAAATTTTGTGATGTGCTTGACAACAAGGGTTATGCGTAAGTATTTATGCATTATTTTATAGTACTATTTATCTTAACATGTGCATATACACTGGGCCTAAATATGGCATGTGGGCGCTGAGGACCTCGGGCGGGCCCTTCATATAATATTTATATATATGTGTGTGTATTTATATATATATATATATATATATATATATATACAAATGTATATATTTATATATATATATATATATATAAAAACATATATATGAGCTTGATGAGTTTTTAATTAACGATAATGGTACTTTTGAGAAGTATATGGAGATATCTGAGAAAGCAGAAGTAACCAAAAATGATAAAAATAGATCACTAGTGGTACTATATATATTCAATAGACTAGATTTTGATTTTTTCCATAAATTGATATATGTTTCTTTTCCGAACAATAAATCCAATAAATAGAAAACAATTCGTTTAATAATTTTTGCTACTCTATTTTATTTTGTATTTTCTATAATGTTTAAATTTTTTTTATTTTTTGTTTTTATTTTTATGTACTTTTTTTCACTTTTATTTGCTACATAATCCATTCCTTTATATTAAAAAAACTGTTATACTTAATATTCTTTTAATAGAGTTAGTCTATATAAAAAAATGTTTTTAACAAAAAAACCTGATGATAGAATGTATCTTGTTTCAAAACGTCGTAATTAAACATCTACAAAAAAATAGTTTTTTATTTATTGGATTTATTGTTCGGAAAAACAAATCAATATATATATATATATATATATATATATATATATATATATATGGAAATTCTTTTATAATTTGTTTTCAAAATGAAGCAACAATAATGAGAAAATATAAAAAACGAATTAATAAGTAATTATTTTTTATGTTTATTTCAACATAATATTGCATTCAATTATTTTAATTTATTGCTTCATAATTAGATAGTTAGATAAATTGAGGACTGAAAAGGTTGGAAACCAACAAGTGATATATATTATTGTTTGTAATTTGAAACTTCATATTAAAAATTACTGTAACATACTTTATTCTTTCAGATTAATACATAAAGCAATTCTGAATAATAATTTATACTTACTGAAATTGCAGTGTTTAGCATTATTATCAAAAAAGGTCCCTGTAGGATTGCGAAATAAAGAAAATAGGGTAAGATTAATTTTTTGTCAAGTAATTTTATTTTGATTAATTTAGAAATTTATTTATTAGAGCACCTTGGAAATTGCAATACTGAACAGTTCTAACATAGATATTGTTAGAACATTACTTTGTTTTGGAGTTTCAATTGCAGAGGCCAATCCCGACTCAGGAGATAACATTCTTCATTTAGCAGCATTGTACACAAAAAATATAGGCGTTTTCAAATTATTAGTTGAGAGATCAGATAAAAAAGCACTATGCAATTATAACAACTCAGGTAAGGATATGTACATCATCTGCTATTTTGATAAACACCCGATTAAAAAAGGAATCAAAACTTTTTTTATCAGGTTTCTCGGTTGTATGATTTTATTTAAATAGTGATAACTTATAAAAAGGGAGGAAATGACCAGCAACCAGCTGAAGCCAACCTTGCGTATTTCATGTAGGTACATGAAGTAACTAAATTGATTAAAGTCACTATATTTGTAGAAAATATTCCTAACAATTTTTTGGGAGAATAGATACACTAATGTGTGTGAAAAATAAAATTAAAAAGTGAATTTAAAATTTTAGTAGTTCCGATGAACTTGTGTGAATGATGTCCAAAACTATTCATTTTCAATGAAGATTTTAATGATATGCATAATTTTTGAGTTTCGTCCTGATATATGAGTATTTTATATTTTATAAATCTATATCTATTTATAATATCTGCTCACAATGATTTACAAATTTTTTGTTACAATTTTTATTAAATGCATTATAATAATATATATCTATAAAATATAATGAAAGAATGCATACAATTTTTGAGCATAAACTGAAAGGTCTGGAATTATGAAAATACAATGTGTTTTAAATATCATGACAGATTATCTGAAATGTTTTTTGCAAATAACTGTTGAATTTTATTTAGTTTTTGCTATGAAAGGGGATAAGATACAAGATAAATGATATAAGGATTAGGGTTTATACAAAATTTATATAGAAAAAAAAAATTAACACAACAGAGTGATCTTAATAATAATATACTTTTTTATACAATTTAGTAAAACAATAAAATAATAGTTGAGCTGGATTAAATAACTTTAAAAATAATAATTTGTTGTTTTTGCATATAAGTATAATTTTTATAAACGAATTATTCAGCAGAAGATTCAAATCAATAAAATATCTATACATATTTACTTATTTAAGTTAATTTAAGTTTTAAAAACAATTAAACAAAAGACCATCTATTTTTCCTTACCAAGGATCATAAATAATTGTATGATTAATAATTAAAATCGCTTATACTGCCTGAAGTTAAAATAACTCAGTAAATATTAATAATTAAATATTTTTTAAATAATTGAAATCAATAATTAATTTCATTTCAATCAATTTAATCATATGTAATAAATATTTTGTATATAAACTTTGTATATAAACCTAAATATTCTGAACTTTCTGAATACTTTGAATTTTGGCATTCAAAATGAAACAAATATTTATTAAATCTTCAAAATATGTAAACTAAATTTTATTTTCCCGATACATGTATGTAAATTATTAAAAAAATATAGACAAATCTATCTTAATACATAAGTAAGAACATGATTATAATTTTTTACTTATTTAAAACTTTAAAGTTTTTGAAATTTATATTATTTTGAGATTGTTGATTTTTTTTATATATTTTTGCAGGATTTACTCCGTTACATTTGGTGGTTCGAACAAATAATTTTAAAACTGAAAAGGTGAAAGTTTTATTATCAAATCGGTACATACGTGAGTTCATCAACATTTGTGATTTGACTAGTGGAAAAACTGCACTTTTTCATGCAATGGAGAATAATGATGGTATGCTTGATGTCCAACACAATAATGTTTCTAATATATATATATATATATATATATATATATATATATATATAATAGTAGTATAAAAAATTATGTATATATATATATATATATATATATATATATATTAAAAGCTGAGAAACATCACTATCATGTTTTATACAAATCCATGCCAACATGATTTTGATGTGCTGATTAGTTTTTGGCAAAGGCAGGTCCAGCCATTTCGAAGATACAAAGCTAAATGTACAAAAAATGCCAGTTTTTGAGATAACTAAGCACCCAATTTTAATGATTCAGAAAACTTTCTGAAAAGCATTACTTAAGATATATATATATATATATATATATATATATATATATAATTATATTATATTTGATATCCATATATAATTCATTTGTTTTAACAGCGAAGACTATACGTGAACTGCTTTCTAAAGGTGCGAATCCAAATATTGCCACATTATCAGGGATTACACTTTCTGATAATTATCATGAACTGGATATTTCAAGTGAACTGAAAGAAGAATTTAGGCAATATCTTAAAAGTAAAGAAACTCGAATAGGTAATTTATTTTTGTTATATGATACACCTAAGTCTGTTTTTACACGGAGATTGGTTCCAGAAGAACCCGTGTAAAAAAAAAACGTGTAAAAAAAGACATTGATCTTATACAAAAATGGGTGATTTGTTCCTAATCTTTAAAACCTATTAAAATTGGTGAAAAACAAGAATTTTTGAGAACAAGAATTAAATTAGTGCTATTCACATTTGCTTTGACCAGTAAAAATTGTTTGTACGCACTAAAGGGGAATTCACTTAAATCTTTAAGCTAGTGTTCGCAAACTATCGATACTATCAATGGTTTCAGTCTTTTTTTTTTCATAAATACTTTTTTCTGATATGAACATACTTCGCAAAAATTAAATTTGACGAAAAAAATTTAGGTACATAAAATTTCAAATCGTGCTAAATGGAATAAATTCGTGTAAAAAATTAAAAATATTCAATTTTCAAACCGTGTTATATCAAAACCGTGTACAAAAAGACCGTGTACAAACAGACTTAGGTGTACTTATATTGATTTTTCATTCATGAATTATTTAAACTCATATACATATATATATATATATATATATATATATATTTACATATAAAAAGAAATTTGAGGCAGTTATATCAAATGAAAATCTAATAGAAAATCTAGAAAATCTTTACTGGCAGATGATCGAACAAATAATTTTGTCATTCTCAGTGAATCTACAATTTGAATGACTAAAATTTGAAACAAATTATAATTTGTACCATAAAACAAAATTTGCATTATTACAGTATACTGTAAAAAATTTTATATATGATATTTATATTTGTAAACTTTCATTATGCCCAAACTTAATTTAAAACTTATTATAAAATTATTATTACTTATTAAATTATTATATTTTATTTTAATATTTTAATAATTACATGTTTTTGACATTTTAGGAAAACGTGTTCGAAATGAAAACATTCATTCTTCTTCAAAGAAAATGAATCTGGAGAAACTGAGTTGAGCTAATGTAAGTTGTAATCTGAAAATTTTATTATACATATTTATACGTAAGCGCCTAGTTGAATTTATGTCGAGTTTTAGTGATCATAGCTCTGACTATATACGTTTATTTTATTGATCCTTTTTTATGAAATTTTTGATATAAAAATATTATATCTTGATATTTGATAAATTCATTTCTAAATGTAGCTCTTTTTGATAATTTTTGATAATAAACTGAATATAGCAATCCTATATTTTTAACAATGTTCAAATTTAGCCATATGTGTATATATATATATATATATATATATATATATATATATATACATACATACATATATAATATGCATAATACTAAATAGTATTATATTATAACTTACCATTGGTAAGGTATATTATACTTACCATTGGTTAGTTTAAAAATTGTAACTAGATAAATTTTAATTATTTTGAAACTTATCAAATTTGATTATTTATGCTTTCAATTTCATTTATTTATTCAGATTATTTTATTCATTTTTAATTTAAATTATTTTTTACTTTTTTTCTGTTTTTTCAATTCTATAAAATTTCAATCAATGAAATTGAGTATGTCTATTGCATGAGATTTAGCATATTTTTATGATATGTGAATAAAATAAAATTTTGCTAGCACACAATATTCATACATATAACATTTTCCTTACAGGAAAACACAAATGTGGCAGATCACAAACTAGTGATGTATGCTCTCTTGCATTTGGTTGAAACTCATGGTAAGTGTGCAAAGGAGAATATTTTCACAGAAAATATTAGTGAAAGGTATGGTTTCAGTTAGTATGGCGTTTTAATAATTAGAAGTTAATTTTTTTAATTTCTTGACTATTACTTTGTTTTCTGCAATGTTCAATTATTACTGAGAAAGTTGATATCGGAGTTAGAAAAATGTGTGTGTTTATGCTATTTGTGTTTTTCTCACACTTTATGAACATTTGCACTGATGCTAATAATTCATAAGCTATTTGATAAAAATCATTGGTTTGTTTAATGAAATCAATTTAGAAATTGTTTGAAAAAAAACTCAAGCAATTCAAAAACCATTGGAAAATTATCAGATAAAATCGCATTGATCAGTTTTTTTTTAGTAAAAACTTCAACTACAAAAAACGATTTGGTTAAAGTATAAATTTCTTGCAGAAAATTTCAATGCCAAAAAAATAGATAAGCAAAATCTTTTCTAATCCCGATCTTCAACACCTTTTACTTTGTTTATACTTGTTTAATTATGGTCTAGGAAAAAATGAATAGTGAACATAATATACAAAAACAATTGATTCGAACTTGCAGTATTCAAAGGTATTATTTCTTATCAACATACAACTTTTTTTCATAAATTACAACATAAAATTGACGGTGATTGATAAATTTATCAAACAAAAATTTAATAAATGCTGAAATGAATGATTGAAACAAGAAGTTTTTAGAGTTGAAGTTATCAAAATACTATTGAAAGTGTTATCAAATACTTTTTACAATATTTATAATATTATTGTATGTTTGTATATATATACATATATCATATACGTATATATATATATATATATATATATATATATATATATCATTTTTTATCGTTTAGTTATTTATTTATTTTACAAGTTTTGATCACATTTTTTAAATGAGTTATTCTAGACGTATTATGTTTCTATAGTTGATTGTAAATATATAGCGATATACGATTGTAAATATATAGCGATATACGATTGTAAATATATAGACATAGACCAATAATGGATTTTCAAACTTTTCTTTTTTATGTTTTTCAAAATTTGTTCCATGATTTTTATAATAATGACGAATGTTGAGTTTTTTAGGTCTTAATTAGTGTGCTAAATACCATTCACTTCGGAATTGAGAAATTTCAGAAATTTCTTTAAGACCACAATACAATAAACATAGTTAATTTTATTATCTATTTTTCTTAAGAATGTCATGTGGAACGTGGGACTTCACAAACTGATTTTAATTTTGAAAATGATTTAGCTTTTATTATTTGAATGTGAAAGGATAAAGATGTTCGAATTGCAAAAATTTTAATTTATAGGAATGTGAATAACTTGACATCTTCATTAAATGCGACGTTGTTACATTCGCATGAAAATTGAGATTCTTAAATTATTGAAATATTATATCAAATGTAATCAATGAGCTTAGGATCACATACCTCTTGAATTTAAAAACACTGTTTACATGTTAAAATTGGCTTGCACCGAATATTCGGTTACTATTCGGCATATTTGGCACCCTTTTTACTATTCGGTTCGAACACTGAATAGTATCTTACTATCCGGCCAAATACTGAATAGTTAAAATCAAAGGCGCCGTCGCTCAGCAATAGAATTGTTGGTGTTTTATCTTTTATCCGATATAGAACTCGCGATGGATCTGTCTTTGGAAGTGTTTAGTTTACATAATATGATATGAAATTATTATTATTGTATATATAATTATTTAAACTTTATCGACTTTTCGCAAGATAACTTCATTGTTACATGTTTATATTATTAAACTGTAGGGTAAGTTATAGTAATCGCAAAAAAATCGGAAATGAAAATTTTTATATATCCTTACGTTTTAGAGGTTTCAGAACATATTGGCATACCTTAGAAAAAAATTATGTATGTGTGTGTGTGCGCGCGCGGATACAAAATTTCGTAGACTATTTCGGGAGCACGGTTTAACCGATTTCAATTATTCAAAAAACATTCGATTGCTGTTGATAAGGAGATGTGCTAAAAAGTTTTTGGCATAAGCAGGTCTAGCCGTTTCGAAGATACGGGGCAAAAAGTGCCACAAACGGTAACTCAGTTTTTAAGAGAACAGAGTATCCGATTTTAATAATTCAAAAAAGATTTTACCTGTATTGACAAGATGAACAACTGATTAAATTTCATGAAGGCAGGTCTAGCGGTTTCGGGAATCGAGTAAAAAAAGTAAAAAAAATCCATTTGGCGGTCAAACATGATTAGAGCACATAAAATAACACATAAAATTATCAGATGTTTTATATAGATTTTAACAATAAGTATTAATTTTAAAGCCAAGACACGCTACGCCCCTGAGTAAATTTATAAAAGATATTTCTCTGTTTTATAAAAATGTATTAAAACTAGTTGGTTTGGTATTTAGCCTTGAGGCAAGTTACATGAACTTCCCGAAATGTGTAAATAATCGACTTAATCAAAAAAAATGTGTAAATAATATACTTCATTAATCCTACTTTTTAAAAAAACGATAATAATTTTAGCAAACTTTGACGAATTTTTAAAATTAAACTACTTGTCGTTAGGCCGTAATATTACAGTAAGTTCTATAAGACCATGATGTATATCGCCAAAAAAAATTTCCATGAAAATCGGCTTAAATTTTTTTTCAACAGTTAATTACAAGAAAACGACTCGGTAGATTTTCACCTAAAATTAATCAGTATCATTCCCAACTAATATCTTTCGAACAGTTTTTTGATATTTAAAATCGGTTCGGTAGGATGAGCTTAAATGTCGACGAAAATTTAACACTTTTTTTCAACAGTTAATTACAAGAAAACGGCTCGGTAGATTTTCACCTAAAATTAATCAGTATCATTCCCAACTAATATCTTTCGAACAGTTTTTGATATTTTAAAATCGGTTCGGTAGGATGAGCTTAAATGTCGACGAAAATTTAACACTTTTTTTCAACAGTTAATTACAAGAAAACGGCTCGGTAGATTTTCACCTAAAATTAATCAGTATCATTCCCAACTAATATCTTTCGAACAGTTTCTGATATTTTAAAATCGGTTCGGTAGGATGAGCTTAAATGTCGACGAAAATTTAACACTTTTTTTCAACAGTTAATTACAAGAAAACGGCTCGGTAGATTTTCACCTAAAATTAATCAGTACCATTCCCAACTAATATCTTTCGAACAGTTTTTGATTTTTTAAAATTGTTCGGTAGGATGAGCTTAAATGTGGACGAAAAGTTTTTTCAAATTACAAAGAAACGGCTTGGCAGATCGTTGCACAAAACTGACAAACGATAGTCCTCACCGAAATACATCAAATGGCTTTTAAATTTCTAAAATCGGTTCAGGCGTTTTTGAGAAAACGTCGATCAAAAGTTTAATTTTGACAAATGCCAAAAAGACCATACTGATTTTTGCAAACTTTGACGAATTTTTAAAGCTGAACCAGTTGTCGTAGGGCCGTAATATTTTAGTATGATCTAGAAGACTATGGTATCTATCGTCAAAAAAATAATCATAAAAATCGTCGAAATTTTTTTTTTAAAAACTTTATTACAAGAAAACGGCCGGCCGATCTCTACCAAAAACTAATCAGCACGATTCCCAACCAATATCTTTCGAACGGTTTTTGAATTTTCAAAATCGATTCAGAATTGCGGGCTAAAACGTAGACGAAAAAATTTTTCACTTTTCTGCCATTTATGAAGAAACGGCTTGGCCGATCGTCGCACAAAACTGACAAACAATAGTTCTCGTCGAGATACATCGAATGGCTTTTAAATTTTTGAAATCGGTCCAGCCGTTTTCGAGAAAACGTCGATTTACGGCAAAAAATCTGTTCACATACACACACACACACACACACACACACACACACACACACACACACACACAACACACATACTTTTTCCAAATTTGGTCTCATTCGATTCAGAATGGCTTGAAACGTCGAGAAAACATAAAATTAGCGAATCGGGTTTTTTGATGAAAACATAAACTTCTCCTTCGGGAAGTTAATTATGATTTATTATATTCAATCTAAGCATTTCCAAATAAAGAGCTTATGATTAACATTTCTAATATATATGGAATATATAATAATTAAATATATAAAAAGATATTTCCACGAATAAAAATTCATATTAAATATCGTTGATTATGAAACTTTACAAAAATGTCATGACCATTTGTTTCTCTCAAATTCACGTGGCTCACTTGATTCCCACATGTGAAAGAAATAATATTAGGTTT